ATCTCTTGACTGGGTGGTTAGCTGGTGTTAATGCTATGTGGACATTGGACATTGTTGACGTTTCAAGTGTTGTTATTGCAATATTACATACATATTGTTGTTTTTACTGTTGTTGAGTGTACTTACGAGTAGTTGGTTTTATTGCAGGTGTTTGTTTCCCTGTTTACGCTGTTAGATGACTGTAAAAAGCGGTGATGTTTGCGCTGAATTCTTGGGCAATGAAAGCAGCGTCTAAAAGAAGAATCGACGCAACATAAATATGATTAATGTTATACTAAATACTTGTTGCTAAAAATGATATAAATCGAAAGACAATTTTTTTATTTATAAAATTTATATAACAAAAATTAATAACATAAATGTATAAAACGCAACTCTGGCTTCGAGATCTTCGGCCGATTTAAATAAAAATAATTAAACAGTGTTGAGGGAGTCCCATGGTTTAGCCCTTCAAAATATATATTTATGATTTTAGATCCTTCAGGCAATGTGTGTCTGTGTGTTTTTGCAGGCGCCGGATGATCCCTGGGCCTGGTAAGCCCAGAAAATAGCACAAAATGCGCCGCAGCCACTCATCGTCCTTAAGACAAAGCGGCCATTCGGTCAGAGTGCATATGGTTAATACCAATTACCACCCAGCGAGCTACCAAACGTCTGATAAACTTAAACGATTTATATACTTTCTAGCGAGAGAAAGCCAAGAGCCTAGGAATAGTCCAATGAGATTCCAAAACTCGAAGAAGATCATAGGAAACCACAAATCACACAAGAATAAATGTGATGAAGTGGCCAAGTACCCAGCACAGGGTTGCCTTATTTCCCCGCGTTCTGTTTTGTATACGGAGTAAAGTTTGGAGCATTCATTTGTTTAATTGTGCTGGTATATGGCGCAGAAGCATGAACAATGACAACATCCGACGAGGCAGCTTTGGAATATTCGAGAGAATGATTTTGTGGAAAATTTTCGGGCCTTTACGCGTTAGCGACGTCGAGTACCGCAGGCGACGGAACAATGGGCTGTGTGAGTTTTATGACATGGACTTAGTGCAGCGAATTAAAATACAGCGGCTCCATCGGCTTGGCCATGTCGTTTGAATGGATACCGACGCTCCAGCTCTGAATGTACTCAATTTGGAACTCACTGTTTCAATGTCGAAGTACTCTAAAGATTCGTAAATGGATTTTGTACCACACCGATATTACGACTACCATCCGAAAAATAATGTGACAATGATTTCAGGCGATTAACCAAGTGCCCAGCAATGACATTTCACATTTCATTTGGCAATTCATCGCGTTCCTTGTAGAAAGTTGTATACAACCCTTTGGCTACAGCGGCCAACGACACATACCGGTTAGAAAAAAAAGCTTGACAGCAAGCTCAACGCTCTTATGTTGGTACGGCACTCAGGACCGCAATCATACCAACCTCGAGGACATACATACATATATATGTACACTTGAAAATAGATAATTGTGCCTAGGTCAAGCTGTTTATAGAAGTTTTCTTTCTGTGTGCAACTGAAATCGACCGCCGTGCTTATTCATACCAAAACTAATTTCGTGGAACCCCGGTGACTTTTCTACAGAACCCACTTTAGGAAGCTCTGTCCTAGAAAAGAATAGCAATGTCCCCTAAAAACCGTACATGCAGTTTGAACAATTATGTTAAATATAGCTAGTAAATACAAAAACCAATGCAAACATTAAGATGCCCACCACATCAGCAATAAAGAAAAAAATAATTGGTCAAGAAAGTGCGTTACCAGACATACATATGTACATAGATACTAAAGGGTTGTAAGAATCAACTCATGAATTTACTCGAGTCTAGCCCCGCTGTTGAGTGGAAACTACTTGAATGTAGATACTAAGAAAATATGTAAGTTCTTGTTTTTCACTAGCAGGCCAACTTGTTAATACATCACATAAACAAACGAAACTCACACTCCCACCACCAACCACTGCTTAACGATCGTTTCGCTAGACCCGAGTTATGGGATGAATTCTTGAGTTGATTCTTGCAACCCTTTAATAGATACATACATTTGTACATATTGTACATAACCATAAGAGCAGCGCAAAGGCGCAAAATGTACAACGTACCTACAACACACACCAATAAATCAATTAGCCTGTACGCACAGCAAGCAACAAGCCAGCGAGGCACAAGAAAAACAGTCTACAGAAATGTCAGTAACGGAAGTTGAAGAAACATTTCCATATGTTGCTATAGCAGCAAGTATTTCGTTTAAACAAAAGATCCCTGCAAAAAATGCGACTAATCCGGAATGACTCCGGGAGCAATCGCAAAGGAACTTGCGACTAACACCACTTTTGATCTCTCTATATGGAAGGAACTGTTCCTATGAAGAGACTAATTATTCCCCTTCATACCCGAACGGATATAAAAGGCGACTAGTCATTAAAAAAAAAAAAATAAATAAAAATATAAACTTTCGCCAGCCGCGAGTCCAACCGGGGGCCGCACATGAAATTTCATTGACTAAGTGCGTACATATCACGATTGAGAGAATACAAAGGTTGCGCCGATCTCGGACCGCTATTCCTCTCTTAACGAATTTGACAGAATCGTTGTTTGCATGACGTCACACTGGTGCAACTT